ACAGTGTGGCACACAAACTTCCCATCCAGTGAGTGCTTGTTTGCACCAGCTTTAGCTCTTTGTCTCAGCCTTATTATGAAGTAGATTTTTGCTTCTGGCCCATGGCAGCAGATAGTTCAAGGCAAGTTGAGATCTGTTACCTGGCTGAAAGTACTAGAAAAGCAAATAGAATCTGTGTAACCTGATGCTGGTGTGTGTGTCACTTTGAATCACTGGCTGCACCCTGCTTATCAGCAAGCCTCATTTCGGATGGGGCAAGTGGGGAAAAAGCTCTTTCCTTCCCTCTCTGAGGTTTCCTGAAGGATTTACTTCATCACAGGCACATTAAATCTGCCACAGCTATGTCAGGGGAGACATTTCCTCTGGTTAGTCAGGGATTATCCGCCCTGCTCTGCAGGGGGAGGGGAAGCTGCTTTGTTCGTTCAGTAACTAATCCACCAACCTGCCAGTGCTGTCACTTGCTTTAGCAAGAGAGAGCCATAGTAATTAGCTTTCCCTCAATGGCATGGGCCTTTCAGTGCAATGCAGGGGAGGTGCCAGCCTACCAGTGCTGACCAGTGCAGAGAAAACCCTACAATATTACCTCCAGGGGTATAGACATCTTTGCTGCATGGTACAGTGTGTGAATTCCAGAACAAGAAATGTAGCATTCTTTTATTTATATTAGTGTAGCGCCTAGGGACCCCGGTCCTGGACCAAGACTCCATGGTGCTAGGCGCTGTACAGACACACAACAAAGAGCTGGCCCTTGCCCCCCAAAGAGCTGACAATCCTAACTATAAGACAAGAGAAACAGATGGAGACAAGAGTCAGGGAAGTACAAGGAAACAGTGCAGGCCAGCATGACAGGTGTCATCTCAGCACACCCAGCAGCCGAACCATTGTCAAGTGTTTTTAGATGTGCCGGCAAAGGAGAGTTTTACAGAGAGATTTGAAGGGGGATCATGAGGTAGCTTTGCAATGTTTCCAGGGAGCTCCTCCAAAATGTGAGGGGCAGAATGGGAGGAAGCACGAAGGGTCTGGTGTGAAAATGCAATGGACAGAGAAATGTTACAGATGGGCAGCCGTGTAGTGCGAGGGCACCATTGCTTTAGTTTATGGTGTTCCCAGAACTCTGCAGTGGTGGTAGCCCTGCTATTAACTGGCTGAAGTCTGTCTGTGTAGAATTGGAGGATGCCAATGAGCAGTCCAGGCTGTGTGACGCTGATACAGCGCTGTGTGTTCTGCGCTGCTGTCTGAACTGAGAGGGAATCGCTTAGAATTCAAAGAGAGGTGAAGTTAACAATGACTTGGAAATGCATTGAGACGCGCTCTTGAGAACACCTCACCTCTGGTCCCCTGTTATGGAAGCCAGTCCTTGGTTCAAGCCATCTGCTGTTCAGAACTGGAGAATGCGGTTGGCTTATGTCTGGCAGCAGAAGCCCGAGTTTATCATGCCTACTGTAATAGTGGATGTTCTTGTTGTTCTTCATAGAAATGTTAAATCTTTGTGTGACTGCTGCTGAGCCTTGTGGTATATTGTGGCAGCTAGTCCTGCACGATAACTCTGCTTGGCACATTTTTTATTAAAAAACCCCTTTTTATCAGCTTTAAATTTTGGTGTGTTTCGGCTGCGTGTGTCCCCTTGCTCTCGTAGTATGAAGGACTAGACAACAGTGCCCGCTTTGCCCACTCTGAACCATTCATTCTTCAAGTGATGGCTCATATCCATTCCAATAGGTGTGTGCGCGCCGTGTGCACGATTGGCGAAAGGTTTTTCCCCTAGTGGTACCCAGCTGTGGAGTCCCCTGGAGTGGCGTTTCATGGCATTGTATATCGGTCCCTGCCGCCTGCTCAGTTCCTTCTTACAGCCTGTGACAGTCGTTGGAACAGCTCAGTCTCTTGCATTCACAAGTGCCTACCTACCCCTTTTCTTAGTTGTAAATAGTTTCATAGAGTGATAGTTACAGTAGTTTGTAGTTTCATAGTTAGCTAAGCTTACTTCGGGGGGTCCCCCCCAGTTTTCCCCAGATACCGGGGCATGCCTCTGTCACAGGGGTTTAAGTCATGCGAGAGGTGTACGAAACCTATGCCCAGAGGCGACGCTGCTTGTCTTAAGTGTCTGGGAGAAGGTCAGACAGACAAGTGCTCCATTTGCAGGAGCTTTAGACCCAGGACTAAGAGGGAGCGGGACTATCGTTTGAAGCTCCTCCTGATGGAGTCGGCCCTCAGCCAGTACCGGAAGCTGCACCAGCAGCCTCGGTGTGGGATGCCCCGGCACCGAGAAGGGTCTCCTCCAAGGAGCATCTGCACCACTCCCTGGCTCATAAAGCCAGTGCTAGCAGGCAGCACCACTCACAGTCCCTAGTGTCGCATAAGAAGAAGAAGGCGGCAGATGGGTTGTTTCCCCCATCAAGAAGCCATGAGCGGATTCCAGCGGGGTGCATCCCATGTGAGACACCCGTGGCCCGGGTGCCTTGTCTCCTTGAAGAATCCGCTTTGTCTGCACAGAGACTGGGGTATATCTGCTTTGGGCTGGGCCATTCGAGCCCCCTGCCATTCGAGCACTCCGTCTCCCACCCTAATACAACTCGCTGAACGTTCTGTGTCTGGACAAGAGGGTTGTACGTCTCATTAGCACATTTTCATCAGTTATGCAAAATTGCATCCCTACCTTTCTCTGTCCCTTGATCCCTTCCTGTGCCTCTCTAGACTGTCTCCTGGGCCTGGTTTAGGACAAACAGGACTGCAACTCTGCCTCTTTGTCCCATAAGCCCTGGGTGATGCTTTAGTAGTTGAATTGAAATGCATGTGTGTGCAGTAATGCCCTCTTCTCATCAAGCAGAAGTGCATGCGAGAGGCATCTCCGCTATCTGGCCATGTAGTAGGTCAGCAGCAGAGCGGCATGTTTAGGGGCTGCCTGGCTCTGAGAATCAGCTAGGCCTAGAGAAGCACGTGGCAGCCTGCTAGGATCTTGTTCAGATCCAGGTGAGAGCGACACTCTTCTCTCGAAAGAGCTTGCCCTTTTCTGATGGCTCTGATGTCCAAGGGCACGGCCCCTGACCAGGTTGGCTCTGTCTGTTGTTCCCACACCTATAGTCTCGGATGTACAGCCGGTATCACTGGGACCTGAAAAACTACCGGAAGTGAGCAAACGCCCCTTGGGAGCATGGAGTCTGAGCTCTCTGCCTAATGAGGCAAGATGAGAGCCGTCACACCAGCCTCTGTGCTCTGAGGTAAGGCAGGAGGTCAGATGAAAAGATCAAGATCCAACCTCTCTCTCTTTAAAATCTGTGACTCCAGAGTGAGGGCTCACCACAAGGATGCTCTGATATTTAGTGGGTGCCCAGGAAATATCAAAGACAGAGAGCTGCTCCCCAGCTGCAATGGAAGGATTCTCTTGGCCTGCTCAGAGATGATCCCTGCTCAACGCCATCTTTAGGGATTCTGGTGTGAACAATCAGTGAAGCATCCACTTTACTGGCTCACCCTTTCCTGTGCTGATACAATGTCACAGTTGCTTCATCTCCATTGAAATATATTGCTGAATTCTCTTCTTCCCATTAAGTGCATGCTCTCGCTTCAGTGGTCTTATGGCTTTGGTGCCACTCAAGATTAGAGCTTTTCAGGGAGCATATACTGGGAGGGCTGTGGCAGGAAGCCCCGAGAGAGGCACTTGAAGTTACGGGCCATCTAAAAGTGTTAATTTCCCCCACTCCATGGTGCAGTAGCTGCCTGTGTAGAGAACTTGTTAGCCTACCACAGTGTGCAACTTCCATTAACAAGTGGTTTTGCCACTGTATTTGGTTGAGAAGCTCTCACCCAGGTCTTGGACCTCAGTTCTGCTCCGGTGTGTGTGTGTCCCTCTGTATCGGTAATATCTGTGGATTCCTAGTAGCTGGCATCACAAGACGCACTGTAATAAATACCTGAAGGCCAGAACAACTCTCATTTGCTACCTGTGGGTCAGAGAGACAAAATGAGAGAGAAAAGTGTCTTCAGGTACTCATGGAATCTCACACTCTCTTTTTTTGTCCCAGTTGGTCTGTAATCATTCTGTGTTTGTATTCTGCATTGTTGTCTCTGCACCTATATTTTAATAGTGCCCCAAATTAATTTTAGTTGTAGTGTGTAACAGTTTGGATTTCTATTTTCAGAAAATAGAATGCATGGCAATGCACCTGCCATTTTCGCAATGCTTTTGGCTTGATTTTCAGTTTAGTCACACAGGATGCATGTCCTAATGCCTATAAATTGGATAATTGTGCATGCAGGTAGCTAATTAGACACATTTGTGTGCACAGTTACCCAGTTTGCACATCCACAGTACTGGCACATGCTAATTAGATATAGATTTTTTGAACCTTTGGATTTTCTGAAACTCTAGCCTTTAGCACTTCATTCTGATTTTGAAATTGTTTTGTTGTTGTTGTTGTAAGTGTTGAATTTGTAAAGGCTGACAGAAATTACAGACAATGGCGAGAACATGCGCAGCAGAGTGAAAGCCCCAGACACGGGTCTCTGTTTCAGATTACTGATTCAGAATGCTGGTGATCCACTCTTGGGCTGTTTTTCTTGTGTGCCTCTGGAATTGCTGCTAGAGACTAGGTCTGCAGAGTCCCTGTCTGAGACAGCACAGTGGTGCGTTGCTAGTGAGAACGCGAGTCATTTAATAATAAGAGCTGATCACTGGCTCACCTGCATTATCTAGGAGAGAAGCTGCTTAAGAGCTACATCTGGGAACTCTATAGGAAAGCATGGTACAGGAACACAGCCATGCTCCAACAGTCATGAAGGGGTTAAAACTACTAGACCCACTAATTTCTAATGCTGGCAACTAAAACGACTGAATTGAAGCAAGGGCTTTTCAATACTGCACCAGGAATGGGCTCAACATAGCGGGAAAGGAGTTCTGAAAAGTCCTTCCCACTAGTGGAAGCATCTCCTGGCCTTTAAACTATTTGCTTTTGAAGCCTGTCAAATCTCTTTAAACCTGTGCTTTCTTCCTCTCTCTCCTGCAGGGGACATGAGCTGCCAGTACAGAGCTCCTCTGATTCATGCCTTCCTGAGAGGAGCAAGAGACCCGGATAGCACTCTGAGGGCTAGCAGTCTGTCCAACTTGGGAGAGCTGTGTCAGAGACTTCACTTCCAGCTGGGCTCCGTGGTTCAAGAGGTATCAACACTGTACATCTCCCCTATATAATAGCCACTTTCGTTGTATCTGTTGCCACTGGAGAGCGGCCTTAATGACATGGTTACAGGTGTCTTCCTGCCGACCCCTCTCCTACAGAGTGGAGGCATGGGATTGGTGGAGGAGGAGCCTTCCTAGGGCTGCTGCATATCTTGCAGGTGCGTTTTTAATTTCCTAATCTTAGAAACCATTCGTGCTGGCTGAGATGGGAATGAGGAGGCCGGTTTATACTCTGAGAGCAGTATGTCCTTTGAATGCAGGTCTTCGGGATCTCCCATTTCGGTCTGTTTATATATTATACACTGTGACAAAGTTCCTCCTCTGCCTTGGTGGGTCCTGCACTTTTTGGCGGATTTGCTCACCTCAGAGGTTCACGGCAGCCTTCAGTTTGGCCACTTCTGCTAGAGGCTCAAACCTGCCGTTCACTCAGCTAACCTCATCACTGGCCAGCATGTGGGAAATGGAGAACAATCTCCGCAGTCTCTGTTGTCTCACCTAGTGGGTCGGGGACAGGCCAGATCCCTTTCCAAATTAGACCTTCCCTTCTGGTGTTGCTCACAGACCAGGTCAACTCCTCCTGTGTCCGATCAGGAGTTGAGGGGATGGGGGAAACCCGGGCCTGCCCTCTACACCGGGTTCCAGCCCAGGACCCTGTGGATAGCAGCTGTCTGCAATGTCTCCTGTATCAGCTGCGTGATAGCTACAACTCCCTGGGCTACTTCCCCATGGCCTCCCCCCAGCACCTTCTTTATCCTCACCGTAGGATCTTCCTCCTGGTCACGCTTGTACTCCTCAGCCCTCCAGCAGCACGCCTTCCACTAACTGATGGGAGGTCCTTTTTAAACCAGGTGTCCTGATTAGCTTGCCTGCCATAATTGATTCTAGTATGTTCTTAATTGGTTCCAGGTGTCTTAGTTAGCTTGTCTGTCTTAAATGGTTCTAGCAGGTTCCTGATTGTTCTAGCACAGCCCCTGCTCTGGTCACTCAAGGAACAGAAAACTATTCATCCAGTGGCCAGTATATTTGCATTCTATCAGACTCGTGTACCCCACTGGTCTGGGTCTGTCACAACACGCAAAAGAATGTAAAGGTTGCAGAGTCAAGCACTCAGGTTAAGAAATGCCAGAATTAAGGTTGCCTATAACCTTGATTTGGCCCCCTTGTGTGTATGCATTATAACATAGTCTTTAATTAAGTGCTCCCATGCTGTTGTTTCATAGAATATCAGGGTTGGAAGGGACCTCAGGAGGTCATCTAGTCCAACCCCCTGCTTGAAGCAGGACCAATCCCCAATTTTTGCCCCAGATCCCTAAGTGGCCCCCTCAAGGATTGAACTCACAACCCTGGGTTTAGCAGGCCAGTGCTCAAACCACTGAGCTACCCCTCCCTCAGGACCCCTCCGTCATTCAGTGCACAGGATGGACGGTGCCTGCTGAATGAGCAGCTATTCGATATTTTGTTTTATCCTCATTGTTTGGTGTGTGACTCCAGGTCCTATTTACTGCATGCTAGTCAAGTCCTGTTCTGATACAGAATACAGCTCGCCATCTGAGTCCCAGCTCCCAGTCTCCCTCCCTTGGCTCCTCATCCCAGTCTCCTACGCCTGACGCCTTGTCTAATTTCAGTCTCCTCCCTACCCCTTTCCCCCCTCTCCTGGTTCCCAGTGTCTCCCCCACAGCTCCCAGTCACTCTTCCTTGACTCTTCACCTCAGTCCCCCATCCCCCCGCAACTCCATACCTAGCTAGTCCTAGTCATCCCTGCCCCTAGATTCCTTGTCTAATCTGTCTTCCGCTCACCTGTTTTCCCACTCCCCAGTTCCCAGTCTTGCCCCCAGCACTTTGCCCCCTCTGCTGCCCCTTTCACATGTTCAGCTCTTGTCCCCTTTGTATTCAAGTCAGGCAGCTTCCTCCTCCAGCCTGCTGGGGTGCTGGCAGGTGGATCACAGGAGAGAGTCTCCCTGTCAGTTCCGGTACCCACCACCACAGTGCTCCCGGCCAGCTGGGAACAAGAACAGGGACAGTCTCCTTCAGCCTCTGTGGCCCTGGCCTGGAGCATGCTCAGTGCAGACAGAATCTTCAGAGAATGTACCTGTGGGTCCCTTCAGAGCATGTGCAAACTGAGCATTTCCAGTGGCCTGTCACTTTACCAAGTCTGGGCAGTTTTCACAGGAGCAGCAGCATGCCCAGCTCTGACGCTGGGGGAAGCCACCATCTGTGCCACGTTTCAAGCCCCTGCTGTCAGGCACTATAGCTTCGCAGTTAAACAACGGAAAGAATATTTTAAACATGGGCAGAACAATGTATTTTTCCCTCTTCTTGTTCCCTGAATCAGTTGAACAATTTTTGTTGGTACTTTTATTCAGTCTGAGGCAGATCCCTGGCACGGAAAATTTCAGCCCAAGTAGTTAAAGTTTGGCAACTGAAAACAAGGTCTTATAATGGGAAGCGTCAGGCTACCAGCCCTGCCTATAATAATTTCACTGTGGTACAAGATCTTAAAGCATATTTTGTACCTGCTACAGGCACCTCGTCCCAGTTAATAGCATCTCATTATGCTTTTCATTGCTGCAAAAGAGGAGAGTTCTGTGCCAGTTTTATCCTAGTGGCTGGGGTGCTGCAGTCGGAGCACTTTGAGGAAAGGCTTTAGGCAAGGTTCGTTTATATCAGAGGCACAACAAAGGTGGAGTTCCCCCAGCTGCTGTTCTCCCTTGAATTTTTTTCAGGGCCAGAGGTGAGTTTCTCGTTTTTCCCTGGCTGATTGTAACTGTTTGGTGTGTTGGAGGCAGTGAACCTGCTACTCTGGCACTAAACCCAGGAACACCGTGTCACTCACTCAGCCCTGAACACTGCTGAGGCCCAGAAGACTCTGGGCTTGCACAGCCAGTGTGTCTGCAAACAGGCCATTCCCAGAGTTGTTCCCTTCCCATACATCACTCCTTTCTGTGGAAGACATGTGCAGCCCCAGGTGTGTGCATGGTCCAGGGCTTTAATTGTTTAGGAACAAACCAACCAAAAATGGCCTCTCAATAGCCATGTGTGAAGAGCACTTTCATACATAGGTCAAGTAGTGAACTGGCAAATGTCATTCCACATTAGCACTCTTTGCACATGAGGATCTGGGAAGCTGTCTCTTCCCTTCCCATTTGCAGTCACCAGCCCTCACCTCCCTTCCAGATGTGCTCTCACACCTCGGTGGCAACTGGATTAATCACGTACATGAAAATAACATTAAATATTTTCCTAGTGTGTTTCTCGCTGTATCCAGCTGCTAGTCTTTATTATGTTGGAGGAGAAGAGCCAGCACCATGTGACCAGACAGCTGTATACTCTTTTCCCCTGCCCCAGGTTGGGAACTGCTGCACTCGAGACTGTAAGCTCTTTGGGGCAGGGACTGTGTGTTTGGGCTTAGCACCGGGGCTTAGCACCGGGGTTCTTTCTCCATGACTGGGCCCCTAGGCACTGTGGTGATATAAATAACAGAGCAATGTTCCTGCAGCATAGAGCCCCGTAACCAGCGCCGTGGACAATAGATGACAACATTGAGTGCAGCTTGTCGCAGTTCTGTTGCCTGCTCAGCGGTGTCTGTGCGGTGCCCTCTCTGAGCACAGGGCTCAGGTGTGTTTGGCGGCCCAGTGACACCATGCCCCGCACAGAGAGGTGTGGCCCATCAGTAGATAGTGACGGTGGGCCTGGCAACCTGCCGGGATCCCAGGGATCAACCTCATTTGCATAAAAGCGAAGCTCCCTGGTGCCTTTGCTGAAATGGAAGTGTTGCCCATCAAGACCATGCCATGCTCCAGCCTCTCCTCCTCTTCACACACATTCTTTGCATCCAGCATCTCTATATTAAAGGCCAGGGTACCTGCGTCTGCGCCATCCAGTGCAAAGTAGGGACACTCCTAGTTTGGTGGCCTGTGTCTGGGATGATACTGAGCTCTAGTCTCCCCAGGGTGCTGAGAACTAGGAATCTCTCCTCCTCATGGCCTGTACCAGGTGCTGATACAACTTTATCTGTGCTTCCTAATCGGAAGCTGAGGTGCCTGGAATAGTGCACTGCAGTCTTCAGGGCCTCTTCTCCTAAGGCATTGTGTTGGGCTGACAGAAATGAATGTGATTTATAACCACCCTCCCAGGGGCAGGGAGAGGCCGTGTCATTGTCGCTTGTGAGCTCCGGTACTATGGCAACAAGTGCTATGGAAATGCTGATAAGAGAGAGCCGCCTCTCAGGGCCCATCAGCCATACACGGGTCAGTAGCGTGCTGCAGTAGGTTTCCGCAGAGGCATGTCAGTGCAGGACCGGGTTTACAGAGCAGAGATGAGGCCTGCGGTAATGCTCCTTTGAATGAGCAGGCTATTAATGAGTTTAAAAGCTGAGATCAGTACCATCCCCGCTGAGTGAGCAGAAGGATATGGCTGAGGCAGGTGCTCACTAGGAGGCAGGGAGAAGTGTGAGCACATGCCAGAGGACAAACAGGTCACCTCTGTTCTGTGCCCAGCTGGTCTGATCCCTTTTCAGACCCTATGGCAGGTGGAAGTGCTTCAGGGAAGGGAGAACTGCTGCAGCAGCAATGGGAGGCTCTCTGCAATCCCCTCTGCTTGTGAGTTGCTTCCCAGCACGGGCTCTTCCTGGGGATTGGCTGGGTTAGTCCCAGCCTGCTTGAATTCTGGATGTAAGCGTAAGGGCTGGAAGCAGTGTGGAGATGCCAAGTTTAGCCTGCTGGCCAGGGCATTCCCACAGTGCCCGAAGAAGCTGCTTTTCCAGTGTTCCTGTAGTAATACATCCTGTGAGCTGTATGGTCCCATATGAACGTCGTGTTGGCTTAAACCTGGGCTGTGCCTTCCCACACAGTGCTAGGCAGCGGGCTCCCATCTCCCTGCCAACCTCAGAAGAATCACTGGGGCAGATAGTCACTGGGCTGGAAAGCTGGGGGGATCTTGTTACTGTTCAGGTAGATCTCCAGTAGTTTTGTGTTTAAGCTGGTCCAAGGATTGAAGGGCTTGTGTATTGGCAGAAAGAGAAGGCTGAGGAGCTCCGTCCGGAGATTGCCCTAGGGCTGAGTCCTGCAGGGTTGCAGCCCCCCACCCCGCCCCCCCCGAAGGTGACCCACTCACTGATGAGTGAGTGGGCACTATGAATGTGCCTGAAACAAGCTGTCGGATCCCTACAATTGTGTGAAACTAGCGCAGGTCTGTTGTGGGTGCTTCCAGATCACTTTAAGCCCTGGCTCCAGCTCCATTCTTCCCTGAGCCCTTAGTCTCTGGCATGAATAAGTATGTGGACAGGTCTGGTGCAGCCCCTCTGTGGCTGCTGTGTAAACCCCTTCTGGCTCTGCAGAAGGCGGGAGTCCAGCCGAGATGAGCAGGCATTGCAGCAGCCAGCTCCTCTGTGAGATGCACTCTCCAGGGTGCGGGGGGACGAGGCACTGTCCTTGAACAAATTGCTGATACTCTCATGCTTTTTCCATTCTGTTTGGAAATGCACCAACCAGTCCGGAAAGTGGAGCATGTCTGTTAATGTCAGGTAGTGCTTTGCAAAGCTGGGATCTACTGGAAGAGAACAGCTTTAGGCACAAGTGCAGTGTGCGCTGGATGATGGGAATTCGGGTCTGTCTCGGCCCCAAAGCTGGAGACAGGTGGGTTAGAATCTCCCAGGAACTATGGCAGCACATGTGAGGAGGAACGCCGGTCATGCTCCCAGGCACGACCCAAGAAAAGAGTCCATCTGGGCGGGGCCATGGAGACACACTGGGTCACGGGCTGGGATGTGACTTGTATGACTTTGCTGTTCAGCTCTCTGCTGGTCTACCTGTGCCCGTGAACTGCTGAGACTGGTTCCCCACCACTTGTTCAGAGGCTGCTCTGGGAAACCCTTCTTAGCCCATACGTTTCTGGAGGATCGGCTAGCATCAGAGGCAAGCCGATGCACTGGTGTGGCTAGAAGCTGTGTGGTCAGCAGCAATGCCAAAGCAGAGTGTCCGCAAGCAGCTGGCAGAGCATGCCTTTCCGCAAGACAGAAAGATGTAATGAATATTTCCCTCCTGCCTCTGCTCACGCATCAATCTGGTAGTGATAGCGTTTGACAAGATGCCAATGCACCGCATGTCAGCTATTTCAGGAACATGCTAGCTCTGCAAACTCTCCCTGCTGTTGCTGATTAGATAATTAGACTCTTTAAACTCTGCCTGCCTGCTGAACAGCAGAGAAACACGCAGTCTGCATAGCTGAATCCCTGTGCAAGTGAAGTCTCTCTCCTCAAGGTGGAGATTCGCTTGCTCACTAAAGGAGTGATCCAGGGCTGCCCATCTTTTCTGCATGAGACACTTTCCTTTTGGGCAACAGGTTTTCCTCACAGGTTTTTAGATGTAGCTGTTCCAGGAAGTCTCACTCAAGCAATATGTGCCCCCATTTCAGCTACTTTATAACAGTGAGACGCACTTTGGATTGCTCAGTCTGTATGACAGACTCTTCAGTACCTGTTCTGGGTCATAAAAATCACCTGTAGTATCCGAAAGGGGGTTTTAAATAATAAAATACCCAGTGTCTCCCTATGACCCACAACATCTGGCACTGCTGAGAGAGCGCCCGCCTCCTGGGGGAGAGAATCGCAGCACCATCCAGTGGCCCCGAGAAATGCAGACATCATGGATGCCAATGCCCAAACAAGGGAATATATGAACCAAAACCAGTCTTGTGCCACTGAGCAATTCAGAGGCCAGGAGGTACCTTATAAATACCTAGGCCAGTAGCATTCCTTCTCAAACCTTCTAAGGAGTGGGAGTACGTGACCTGGCCACGCTTGGAATCCTTTGTTATACAATAGCTTTCTCGTCGCACAGTCTCCGCTGCTTTCCTGGGTCCCAGCTCAGCTTTGCAGCCCCCGTTGCCCTGACAACACACAGAGCAAAGCCTCTCCCAATCCACGGGGAGCCTAGTGGCGTCTGCACAATTAATCAAATCTGGATGCGTAAAGTTAGATGCCCAAATCCACGTTTAGGCCACTAAATTGATCTGTGTAAAGGTGCTAAATGACCCAGCTCTCACTGAAGTCAGTGGCAGTCTCAGGAGCTCAGCACGTTTGAGAATTTGGTCATTTTATTTAGGAATCTAACTTTAGGCACCTGGGTTTGAAAATGTAGGGAGCCAGCTTGAGAGGCCAGAGGTCTTCTGAAATTGTCAAGAGGATTTCCCCCGTCCCATCCCCTGAAATCACAGGGAGTGGGACATCATCCCCCGCACCAGCAGGGAATGCTGAATGAGCAGCCCCATACCTCGGCTGGCAGAAAAGGCAGGAGAGCAGCATAACATCTGTGTCAGGAGTCTTCCCACTCCTGACACAGCCCCCATTGCCTGCAGCTTCTGTAAAGACCCATGTCATGGGGTGCTCTCTAGCCTGCTGGGCCAGGTATGCCTTGGTTTTCGTGGGCTTGTTTCTGCGCCGAGTTCTCCTGCCTGCTCTGGAGCTGCAGGTGGGCAGGCCCTGGGGGCTGTTGCTGCAGCGTTTTCCCTGCTGTGTGTATGCCATGCCTTTGTGGATCTGCATGTTACAGTCACTGATATGTTTTCCACATCATGTGTGGGTGTGCTGACGGGTTCCTGACTGCACCCCCGCCCCGCCCCGAGACACTGCGGTGGGGACGACGGAACGTGGCAAAGGCACTGCATACACTGACAGAGTTCTCACCCCGGTTTGCCCTGCCAGGTGACCTCCTGTTTGACAGCCGTAGTTAAGACAGATGGCGAGGCTGAAGTCCGAAGAGCTGCGGTCCATGTGGTGGTGGTGCTGCTCCGTGGGCTCAATGAGGAAGCGACTGAGGTAAGCCTCCATCCCTGCTCCCAGAGCAGCCTCTTGGCAGACTGACCCTCACTCCTGGCACCACGCTGCTCACCCATTCTCCCTGGAGCCTACGGTCAACACACCTGGTTCCTGCCACGTAGCAAGGAAACTCACAAGTGTCTCCAGACCCAAGGGTCCTGCCCGCTGCACCCATCCCAAGCCTGGTGAGCATAATGTGCTCTCATACAGCAACTTACTGAACTCTCTGGGTATCTCTGAAGCAATCTCTAGATAGCAGCCGTTCAGGCTCTGATTGTGCAAGTTGAGTCACTGGGAAGGGTTACGAGAAACATTTCCTCTAGACGTTGTGGGCAGTAAAACCTAAGGTGTGGCTCTTGGGAGCCTAATAACTCACAAGGTAAATTTCCATGTCTAGGCAACAGCTAATGAAAGTGTAACGGTGAGTAGGAATTCATTCCCCCTGCAGGGTTTCCTGCCTAGCTCTTGGGCCGAGCTCTAAGATTAGTGCACAACGGTGTCTCCTCTTATTGTCTGCATGTGCCAGTCCCCAGCAGGGAGCAACCCTGCAACACCCAGGAGTTCTAGAAATCATGAGCCCTCTGTCCTGGTTTCGTGGCTCCTAATGCCCAGACCTGTTCAGGAGTCACCAGCATGAATGTAGTGAAATATTAAGAGAACAGTAATTACCCCAAAAGCCACAGACTTCCTCTACTTCCCAGCACCCACTGTTAATGTTCTGCATTAACACTGATCCTAGCTTCCTTGCTTGCACAGCAGCTCCTGGGTATTGGCTGTTCCCCAGAGCAACCTCCCTGCATTGCTATAGCAAAGGCTGTCTTCCTGCCATGACCAGAGATTTTACTACCATCTCTGACTGTCTAATCCGTGCTAGTTCTGACATACGAGAGCACCCAGGCCATGCTGCTAGCCCCGGGCTGCTCTGTTCCTTTTCCCTGATCTTCCATGTGTTTGCAGAGAGTGGAAAAGAGCAAAGCCACCAAAGCTACAGCGTCCGGCTGGGGTCAGGAGCAGGCCCAGCACCTGGAGAAGGGGAGACACTGCACAGAATGGGCAGCACTTGCTGTCCACATGAGCTCCCCAGATCCCTCCACTGTTTCCTGAGCTGAGGCTAGCTGCTCTGTGCAGGGATCTCTGTTGCAGCAGGCTGCATGCAGTGGGAGGTCCCAGCCAGCTGGGGAGTCTGCAAAGCGCCAGTGAGCCCTCACCTATGGGAGAGACTGTGATGACTGCCTCTCCTTTGGTCTGTCCCTGGATGAAAGCCCAGCTCTTTATCACACATTAGTAAAGCCTGTGTGCGGAATGACCCAGCCACTCCGCCAAAGATGTCAGAGCAGGATTGGTTCTTCACTGGTGTTGCTGAACTTTCAGCTAGTTTATCCCCTTTGAACTGTACTTCTGTGAAGTCAGGAGCTGGTCTGAGCCAAGCTCCATCCCCTGTAATAACCTACACGATCGTCTTGGGCACTTCAGTGTGCAGCAGAGAGCCATGCGGTTTCAGGCTACGCTGCCCTTCCTTGCTGTCTGCTGAGGCCCCTTGGATTCTTCCCTCGCAGTGGATTTCTAGCCATAAAATCCTGCTGGGTAGTGCCAAGCTGCTCTGTGCTACCTCCTGCATGTGGGACCCTGAGGGGAGGACTCACTGGGTCAGTGTGAGAGGGACCTGCTAATGAAGTGCAATACAGCGGGTGTTGGGAGTTGTGCTGCCAGAAATGACTCGGTTCTGCTGAACGAGCTAGCCCCATATGAGTGGCAGTAGGCTTGTTATACAACAGAACTGGCCTGGGCAGAGGTGATGCATGGCCAATATGCACAGCCAAGAGTTTTACAGTGCAGCTCCCTTATTGTGCTGAGAGCTGGCTCTTCTGGCGTCCACAAGGCAAAACAGAGTATTAAGAACATATGAACCACCATACTGGGGCAGACCAACGGTCCATCTAGCCCGCTATCCTGTCTAGTGCCTGAGGCTTCAGGGGGAATCTACAGAACACGGCAGTTTTGAGCGATCCATCCCCGTTGTCCAGTCCCAGCTTCTGGCACATGGGGATCTGTAGTTTCCACCAGCTGCACTTCTGTATTCAAGAGCGTGACAGCTGATACCACCCTGATAGCATGCCAGTTGGGTGCAGTGCTGGTACTCCAGGCATGTTGTCAGTGCAGCCCTTTGTGGGGCAGTTGGAGCACCCCAGACGTGGGCGCTGTGGTGGGTGGGTGGGTATCGAACAGTGCGTCACTGTAAAGGCTTCCCTGTAAATGCTGATGCGATAATATGTAAAATCTGGGAAGTGTCGCTCTGGATTTCTTGAGTTCACTAGAAATCCCACGTCAGAGCTGAATGTTCTGGTGGCAAAGAGCAAATCCCATCTGGGAAGCTGCATGTTGTTCTCTTACACCAGCACGCTGGACAACCTGCAATGGTGGCAACAGCTCTTACGCCAAGGTCCAGCCCAGCAGTGGGTCTAAACCACGACGGCTCCTTAGTGTCAGCGAAGCGTGCTCATGGCTGCCAAGAGCACCCTGGCAACAGGTGACTGGACCTGAGGCCTGGCTGCAGAGCCTGCACCTTGGCTGCTGCTGCTGGGGCTTGGAGGGGCTCTGCCTTTCCAAGCAGCAGCTCCCTACCTGGTTGTCTCACTGCAGATTCTTTCTACAATGCAGGTCACTGTAGCTTACACCCCGAGAACCAACCCCTGGGGAAAGCAATCCAAACCAAGTGCAGGGCAGCCCCCACAGCCCCTTGTGACACCCTGCACATGCTGCGCTCACTGGAGAGGCCATAAAACTTAAAGCCAGGACTTCTGCGTTCAGACTGTGCTACTGTCCTAGCTTCACCTCCTTGTGGTCCCTGCACAGGCTGAGAGCTGCCCTGCAGCTTCCTGCCTTTTCTTGTCTTATGTCTCCCCCACCCACAAGTTGTTTTAACACCTTTTTGAGTGTGTGTTGACACTGGCTGCAGAATGGGCTATCGGCTGATCCAGCCTGTTTCCTCTGCAGAGCTATTCCCCCGGTAAGTGCTCCACATATAGACAGAGGCTCACTGTACTGCACAAATGAAAAGAACATTTATATGAGGATGACTCACACCCAGGTTAATTTTATTCCTCTGCAAACTTTCAAAAACAGTCATCAAGGTCCTTGATAGGCAGAAAACAAATGAACACGCCCCCCCATCCTGGGCACTGCCTGTTGGTGCTCCTCCCCCGCTAACTGTCTGCCTCTAACCTTTCTGCTTCCCCCACCTCCAACAGACAGCATGTGGCATCAGCAAGCTGCCCTACTGGGGCTGGTGCTCACTCTGCTCCAGGCTCAGAGCATTGATTGTCACAGTTCTTGCTGGGAATGGAACACCTTCTCTCCTGGAAAAAAGAAAAGGAGTACTTGGGGCACCTTAGAGCCTAACCAATTTATTTGAGCATAAGCTTTCGTGAGCTACAGCTCACTTCGTCAGATGCATCCGATGAAGTGAGCTGTAGCTCACGAAAGCTTATGCTCAAATAAATTGGTTAGGCTCTAAGGTGCCCCAAGTCCTCCTCTTCTTTTTGTGGATACAGACTGCTACTCTGAAACATCTCTCCTAGGGCTCTCAGCAGCTGGGGCAGGTTTCCTGTGGCTGATACCATTGACCAGAGATTGAGAGCATCACAATCTCAGCTCTATTACAGCAGCTACATTTGCTTTATCACTTCCTGTCACTCATAGGCAGTTTCCCAGTGTGCTTCGGCTGTGTGTGGTTAATATGCTTCTCTCTGGAACCTGGAAGCTAGAGAGCTGGGTGCTGACTGGGATGCTTACTTGCGTTCCTATTGCAGGTTTGTCTGTATCCACCTCTACCTAGTAGGTGTCTGATAATTTCTCCTCTTGCTAGCTGCTTACAGGGAAAAGGAGCTGCTCTTTGTCCCTCCACCCCCTCAAGAGTGTCTGCAAGCGGGGACAGATTTCTATAGCTCTCCCCCTCCCTGAGCCTCCACTCACGGAGAGTGAATCATACTAGCACCTGCCTCTGCTGTGCCCATATGTAGTTTTCTTGGGCAGCAGAGTGAAACTGACATTCTTATTTGCAGGGCTAGGGACAGAATTCTGGATAGAGGCAGTGAAACTGACCAGCGTGGAGTTAATCTCCTCTGCCACCCTAGGGGAAAGCTGTGATCTGCAGCAGAGGCACTGGAGCTGTCTGTAGTCTCAGGAAGTTGACACTGCGTTGCTTTACATTCAGTTCATATTTCCAAGGTTTTTCCCTCCCCTCCCCCCCCAAGGGTTAGAGTTAGCAACTTTTGTAATGGAATATTAATTTATAAAGAAATTGAAGTTTCACATACACACCCCTACCTGTGCCCAGTCACATTCCAGTGAATGCTTCCCACTTGCCATGGTAAAGTGGATTTGTCCAGTCCTGGTTATCTGTCCCAGTGTAGCCAGGTGTGTCAATTTCTCTGTGGGGGAGTGCTTGTCAATCTTGCAGCCTTTCATTTCTTCCCTGTTGTTTGGCTGCTTGTAAGGTTTTATTCCTGTGTGAGCAACATGCTATATAAAATTTATTATATGGCAGTTTACCAGGAGGAGGATTCCAGTGAAGTTGCTGTACCTGAACAAGCTGCTGGTTAAGGTGGAAGAGTTTTGCTACCATCCCAGTGCAGCGCAATGCCTGTTGAATGACTAACTTCAGGTGGTGGCTGGTGTACAAATTACTGAGGTAGCCTGCTGAATACAGGGAGGCATGTGGCCTAGTGGACTGAGCACAGGATTGGGAGTCAGGAACTCCTGAGTTCTAATCCCTGTTGTGTCCCTGACTTGCTTTGGGACCTCTGTCTGTTTCCCCATCTGTGAAATGGAGTTAGTGTCTTGGGCATGTACTGGGGAGGGATAGGAGGTTTGACAATGTGCATGCTAGGTGCGGTGTTGCATTGGTTATGGTTTTGAGGGGTTTCTGCTGAGGCCTAGCTGCTGTTTCAAGAATCCCAATATAGGTAAATTTCCTGGGGGCCTCCCCTTTCCCACTTTCCTCCAAAACACACACACGTAGAAAGCCTCTCCCCCGCCCCCCAAAAAATAAATCCTGCGTTCGGTGCTCAGCAGGTGCAGGATGTGCGGTTATTGCTGTGAAGGGGAGTGGAGCGAGTCTGGCATTAAAAGTGCAGTAGGTGAACTTCCCCCCAAGGAGCAGTAGGTGGCGCTCATGCAGGCATGTGATGCCAGCTGCCCTTTGGATCAGTGGTGCAGTTGCGGAAGTGCCCGCCACATGCATGGCCGAGGGAGAGGTCAGGTGTGCGGCGGGGAGGGGATCTTCAGGATGAAGATTAGGTGCCCTGTCACAGGTGTGGGTCGGTTTGATAAGGCATGAACTGAGTTCTAATCTATCGCATCCGGGAGAAGCCCTGTCGACACAATAGCTTCCTCCCCCTGCAGCAGGGCGCCCTGGGGACCCCTGGTTGGACTCACCAGTTGATAACTGGGCCAGTGTTCCATTCACACCACACTGGATCTTCATAATGGGGGGAGAGAGCTAGGGCCAGCAATGGCCTGGGTCCAGCAAAGCTGTTCCTGGCCTTGCCATGCTTGTCCATGGGCAGCCGTATTCCTGGGGAGGAATGAGAGTGGCTCCGAGCTCTGCCGCTCAGGACTGGCGATAACAGCAGCCACTTGGGCTTCATGCTCCGGGGCTCCACGTGTTGCACTGGGAAGACTAGCAGCCTTGTGGTCCCACAGAAACATCACAAACACCGAATTCAAGGCTTGGATGCAGAGCAAAGTGGAGAAAGCCCAAGGACTTGCACACTAGTGAGCCTGACTGGTAAAATCCCCTTTCCCAACCCACCCTCTGGCTGTGCGTGTCCTTTCCAGCTGCCCCTCACTTCCTTCGCAGCATCTCTGCTGGGCAGGGCTGACAGCAGCTGCAGGTCCCTGGAGTCTCCCCTTTTTGGTACATTTTGTTGGCACCCACTTCCCTTTGCACGGAAGAGGCACACCCTCCCTCTGATCTTCAGAGCCAACAGCTGAAACACCAGGCACTGGGGAAGGGAGGTCCAGGCCGGGCCATTCAAAGTATCTAGCTCCTTTGAGTCTCTGGATGAACGACAATGGCTCTGGTGAGAACCCAAGGACTTGCCTGTTTCTTCCCTTCCCCATGGGACACCTTCTTCCCTCAGCTTGTGAACATGAGGGACTCTGCCTCCGTATCAGGCCTGCCTGCCCATCCCTCTCCACAGCAAGGGGAGGTGGCGCTGGTGGAAGGTCCATGTCATTCGTGCTGGAAATGGCAGTGCCCTGGGCTGTGTGTAAAACTAACCCGGTAGCACGTTCTCAGCTGGCTGTGCAGAAAGTCTGCTCCCTTCATGCCTGGCCCCATGTGGCCGGGGGACCCAGGCTGGGCAGTGCTGTGCCAGTTGCAGGTGACCTACAGGAATACAGCCAGAGGGAGAGGTTTGAATAGGTTGCAGGTGGTCATGGGCTTGTGAGCCTCTCACTCCAAGGAAGGCATCTAGCCTTGTCTCTCTCTCCTTGGCCTCTCCTGCTGATTGCTGGATTCTCCTGCCAGGGGGTGTGGAATTCCCCTGCTCAGGAGTAAGACTGAGGAAAGGGGAACTTGGCACAGGAGCCCTGTGGACAGTTTCCTGTGTCACAGGTAAAACATGTCAGTGCTATATCTCGGAAAGCCGTGGGCATTGCCATGGGGGCATTCATGTAAATGCAGTGACTGAGGAATGGCCCTTTTATTCAGGGGCAAGGACTTTTCCCGCTCTCCTTGCCAGTTATTTGGTGTTCCCAGCAGCAGAATTTGTTTGGCCACCTTTCCCTTGTTAAAGGAAATAGTTCTCTGGCTCTTGGGAATTCCCAGAGACGGGCTGGGATTGCACTACGCTTTGCCCTTGCTCAGCTCCTGCTAGAAGTGGATGCCATTGACGAGTTCTCTCCCACCCATTGCTGTGCCATCGGGTAACACAGTGAAGACGGGGGGGTGCAGGGGACAAAGCCTTTGGATAACCAAAGGGTGCAAAAGCTAAGGAGGGGAGGGGGATCCTTTAGGGCAGTGGTTTTCAAACTGTGGGTCATGACCCAGTACTGGGTCATGGAATGGAAGGCACTGGCTTGCGGTGGCTCTGGTCAGCACTGCCAACCAGGCCATTAAAAGTCCCATTGGCGGTCCCTGCCCAGCTAAGGCAGGCTAGTCCATCCCTGTTCTGACACCGTGCTGCACCCTGGAAATGGCCAGCAGAAGGTCCTGCTCCTAGGCAGGGGGGCCATAGGGCAGGGGCAGTGCATGGAGCCCCGAGCACTGGCTCTGCACTCCCATTGGCCAGGCTGGGGGGGGGGGTGCCTGCAGGCGAGAGCTGCGTGGAGCCACTTGCGCGCTTCCGCCTAGGAGCCGGACCTGCTGCTGGCCACTTCCAGGGTGCAGCTCAGTCCACGGTGCCAGGACAGGCAGGAAGCCTGCCTTAGCACCCCTGCTGTGCGGCTGCCTGGGAGCTGCCCGAGGTAATCCTGTGTCCCAATCCCCTGTCCTAGCCACCACCCCCCAGACCCAGAGTCCCTTCCTCACCCCAAACCCCTCTGCTCCAGCCCAGAGCCCTGACCCCATCAAGTACCCCAACCCTCTGCCCCAGCCCTGAGCCCCCCCAAACTTGGTGTGTCAGGCCAGAGCCTGCCCTGCTCCCTGCAGGATGGTGCCACTGTAGATACGGAGCTGCGCATCACGCAGCACTGAAGGAAGGTGTCCCTGGGCGTCAGCTGAGCCCACTGCTGGTGTGTCAGCCCACGCCGGGGAGCAGCCCCTGCCCCAGGGCCCTTTCCAGGATGAGAATGGACGCCAGAGTGTTAGCGGGCTCGCTACCAGGGCAGGGAAGGACTTTGTGTTTTCAGGCATCTCTGGACTTCATCTATCCCTGCCATTAGGAGATGGGATTTTCTGACCCATATGCATGTTCCGAAAGGCCTTTGCCCAAATCCCGGAGATCTAGAATCTCCTGCTCCAAAGCTGTGAAAGCCTGGTTCTGTGCATCCCTTCCCCATGAACGCCACACGTGCTCACACCCTTCTCTGGTTCTCTCCTCCGTCAGCCAGGCTGGATTGTGCATGCAGCTCTGACCTATGGGGGCAGCCAGTGCTCCTACGGAGCAGCGGGTCACATGGCAAGTGGGTTAGTAAGGGGTGGGTGCGCACAGCCAGACAACGTGGCTAATCTGTATGTGCTTCAATTCCCGAGCCGAGGAGCTAGAAACCTGCCCTGGGGAGAAAAGCCACCACCGGCCTGTTTTAGGGAAAACCCAGTGGCTCAGCATCTGCTGTGGGGAGTGAGCACGTTCGGTTGTAGCTCTCAGTGTTTACAGAGGAGAGGCTGTATCATAGTCCCTCTCTGACAGGTGGGGAAACTGAGGCACAGAGGGGCAGGGATTTGTCCAAGTGATCCTACTGCTGTGATTTGCTGTAGTGTCCTGTGACTTGGCTGAGCCTGGGGTGCTGGACAGAAGGCGACAGGTCCCTGCCCCAATGGGACACGCTGGTGGCTTATGGCTGGCTGTACCTAATGTGAAGGCAGATAATGAGCCTCTTGGAGGTGCTGACTGTCCATCTCTCCCCAGGTTCTCAGGGATGTGCTGCGGGATCTCTACCGCCTGCTGAAGTCAGTGGTGGCTTCTGACCGGGATGAGGTCACTGTGCTTCATGCTCAGCTGGCCTTGGAGGAACTCGATGACATCATGAGGAGGGTCTTGTTTCCCCCCCAAACCCTAGAGAAGAAGCTCGTGGTCCTGCCTTAGCAGGACAACAGGCCAGCAGGGCCCAGCACGACTTCCAAGCCGACTCGCACCTGCTTGTCTGTGCCAGCACGCAGTGCCAGGAGAGGCCGGATTCCTGCGTTCCACGGCCTCATCTCTCATCCCCTTCTGCCTCCCGGTTTGCTGAGAGCATTTAACACACTGTAGGATGTGCTTAGAATTTGCTAGTCCTCCAGAGGCTCCTGCCCCAGCCTGTGTGACTTGGGGCCTGCCAGCATGTGTTCTGGCCTGTCTGCCTCGGCTATGAATGAGGCCACGTGGAATCTGCAAGAAATCAGAAAGTCACAGTGAGGGCTCCCTGCCTGTGTAGACTGCAGCATTGCTCAGGGCCGGCACAGCTACGGGTGGCAGCTTCTCTCAGTGACGAGCATGACAGGAACTCATGCCGGGAGTCACTTTTAAAACTGAAACCAGACTTGTACTGAACCCAAAGGCAGGGCAGGAAAAAATCCCCACCTGTGAAGAATCCATTTGCTCTGCCTTCAGTTCATGTTTAATGGGACAGCTGCCAATGAAACCACTGGCACGTCACAGTGAGGAGGCACTGGCATCGGGGTGGCTCTGGCCCAGGTACATCCCAGAGAGTTCAACCGGTCTGCCAGGTGCAGAGCCCCCCCTGCCCCCCATGTGCTCAGACTGAGGGGACTCGCTGCTCAAAATGCAGAGACCTTATTCAAACAACAGCCCCTCTCCACGCCCGTGGGACTGGCTCCTCGGCGAGAGGTGAAACGCAGGGACTGGAAGTCCGCTCTCAGGTTCCCTCCCTGTGTTTGACCGTGCTGCGTGTTGCTCTGCACTGCTGTTCACCCCCGTTTCACTGGGGGCTCTCCGGCATTAGCACTGTGCTGCAGGGCTGGGTTTCAAATACCTTTCCGGGGGAATTATTTACAAAACCTCCCCCATGAGCCCCCGCTGCGGTGCCTGGCGCGGGTGGGGTATGTTTGACGTTTTTAACAATACCTAAAGTGTGGGCCAACCTTGTGGTGGCAGGGCCCCCTGAGCTGGCTATAAAGGACCTCTGTCAATGTCACGACCTGTAAAGTCAACCTGCGTGGTCCCTATCTCCTGGGCAGAGGGAGGGGCACGGCAGAGCATGCTGTCCTGCTCTCGCCACGGAAGCTGGCCCCCGGTACCATGCTGGAGAGCGTAGCCCAGACCAAGCGAGTGCCCTGCGGTGTATGTGCCTGAGGAAGGGAAATCGGAGGAAATGGGTTTGTTTTCACTTGCAGAGGAGAGGGAAGGGAATTGACCTGGACAGTGCCCTGGGAAATGCAAAGTAGGATCCAGCCCCTCCTTCCCCTCGAGCTGCAGACCGCACTCGTGCTGATCTGTCGGACAGGCTCAGCCAGGTCAGACCTGCAAGGTCTGTGTTCTCCCGCCCTGCCTGGGAGCAGGTCAGCGCTCTGCGGGCAGGAAGGTGCAGCTTGCCAGTGGCCACCTGCTGAGCACTTTGGGACCAGCAGGTGCGAAGACCTGTCTGAGAGCTGAGGGCGGTTGCTGCTGGGCTGTAGGGAGCTGGCAGCTGCATGGGCTACTGCCTCCTTGGCAGCTCATCTCTTGAAGCCCTGCTCCTGGAGCCATATGCCTACAGGAGACTCTCAGCTTTGTGTGTTTTAAAAGGAGGGTTGTGGCCCTCGTGGTGGTGAAGAAAAGCTGGAAATGCGAGAAGGCAAAGAACCAGAGCCAGGTTCAGTCTTTGTCAAACTCTCCTGAATTGAAGCCTATCTTGTGTTGTGGGGGGGCCTGACTGGTGATTTTTGAGGGCCTGGCACTGAACAAACCCATTGACCACTTCCTTAATGGACACCTCCACTTAGGCAGTGGCTGTAGTTGCCACCTGGCAGCAATGGGCGGCACAGGAGGAGGTGGGGCTCCTGGGCTGGTGAAGGGGCAGGGAGGCTCCCGGGACACCTCTCTGAGATGTGGGGAAAGCTTGCGACGCCCTGCATGCCTCTTCGCCCCGAGCCCAGTCCCTCTACGTCAGCTGCACGGGGTGAGCCAGGGAGGGGCCGGCATCGTGGGCGCTGGGCTAAAGCTCCATCCAGCTCCACTGGTCCCTGGAGCCTCCCTTAAAAATAATGGGGCTTTGGATTGGAAAGTGATGAGGTGAGGGCTTGTGGCATGTCTGATTCCTCCCTCCTGCTTGGGCGTGACTAGGGGCCCAGGCTTCCAGCACAGGTGGAGACCAGACCTGGGTCGGGAGAGAATGACTCGCTGCCCTGCTTTCACTGACTCAGCGACCGGACAGGATTCTTCTCCATGCTCTCTTGGGATCCCGTCTGAGGCTGCGGGCAGTGTGGGGAGGAGACAGCAGCTCTGGGGAGGCCAGGTTTATGGGAGATCTCTCTGCTGAGCCAGCTGGGGCAGGTTCACCTACCTGCCATGCTACGTGCCCCTTGCTCGTGCCTCTGAGCCAGAGCCTGGCCCTCCAGCCTGAAAGGCAAGGTGCTGCAGGGCTCCCTGGGGAAGCCTCACACTGGCTGGCAGAAAATGCACCAAAATCTCTCTGCAGTGGACTGGGTCAGTGCAGAGGTTCTGCCTGTGTCTCCAACTCCGACAGGGAGAGGAGCTGCCTTTGGCTCAGGTTCTGCAGGAGTGGGCACTGCTGCGGCTGGGGCAACTGCATACTGACCTCTTAGAAATAACCTGAGAACAAACATTAAAGCCTGGGATCCCCGAGGCTTCTGCCTGGACCCCGCACCCCATCTGTGTGAGCCCAAAACCCCCGGGTCCCTGCCTGGACCCCGCACCCCATCTGTGTGAGCCCAAAGCCCCGTCTCTGCCTGGAGCCAGCTGAACACTTGTGTGAGCTACAAGGTCCCTAGATGTCCCGTCACACCCAGTCCTGCTAGTTGCTACCCCCCAGCACCGGTACCATGTCCCCCGGTGCCTAGGGCTGCTGGGGCCTGCAGGGCCGTGTCCCCAGCCCCTCTGGTGATCCGCAGCCATGCTGGATCAGAGCGGAGCCTGCCAGGACACCTTCCCTTGGGCACCTGCACCGCAGCCCCCAGCTCAGCCCGCGGCCCACGCTCCTCGCCAGGGGGGTGATCACAGGGCCCGCCGCGCTGCCCAGCGGGGCTGGGAGCCTTGTCGCAGCAGCGGACGGACGAGGGCAGATTTCCCGCGGCTGCCCTCGGCCCCGCTGCCCCTGCGAGTGGCGGTGTTTCGGACACCCGGGTCTGTGGCAAGCACCGAGCCCTTCCGTTGCCCATCGCCAGGGCTGCGCAGCTGCTGGGCCAGCGGCCTCCCCCGGCGGGCAGCACCACGGCGGCTTAAAGCCCCTGGGAGCTCCGGGGCAGGCCCGGGGCCAGGTGCTCTGCGCGGGCCCTGGGGAAATGCGATGCCGAGCCGTCCCCGGGCCGGGTGCCAGGACCCCCAGGGTTGGGGGCTGATTCGCAGCCTTCGCTGCCTCCCCGCCGCACCCTCGGCAAACCAGCCCGTTCCCGCGGCTCAGCACCTTGATCTGCCGCCGCCGGCGGGGGCCGGGGAAATGGTTTTATGGCGTCTAGGAATCGCTTTATGGTCTGGGCTTTGATCTGCGGGGAAGCGGCCGCCGAGTGCAGGCGCCTTGGGCTTGCCGGAGGGCGCCGGGGTGCTGCGGGGTCAGCGCCCGCGCGTGGGCGGCCCCTCTCCGGCTTCCACCGGGCTCTGCTGCCCTGCGGCTTTGGCCGGCGAGGCCCCTTCTTCGGGGACCTGCCCGTTCGGCAGTGTCCATGCCTGAGCTCGCCCCCGCCTCGGGCTCGCACCAGCGGAAGATTTTTGAATGACAAGTCTCTTTTAATGCTGGTTCCTGGGCTGCTGGCTGCAGTTCTCCCGCTGCAGACAAGGGGGTTTCTGTGCAGGAGAAGACGGAAATTTTATTTATACCTTGGGAAGTGCTTCTGCAGGGAGCCCCGGGAAGGGAGGAAAGGTGAGAGGCGCCTGGGAGCTGCGTTTGCATCAGAAGGTAAGACGTTGCAGCGCTGCGATTTTACAACGCGTTGGCCCGGGGGTTCCGCACCTGTTCAAACGCTACCTGGGAAGGAGCATAAAGGTTAATTGTGTGTCTGTGGGTCTGCGCGTGCACCCGCCCCCTCCCCGCCCCCAGGCCCCCTGCGCCTCCCTGCGCCCGGGCATCGCGCCAGAGGCTGCCGCGGTCGTCCTGTGCCCGAAAGCGGAGGCAGGGAGAAGCCCCGGCCCGGCAGCTCTAAGCGGACACACAGTGGAGCGGGGCCGTTCCAACCTCGGCTTTCTGTTCAAACCCTCCCCGTCGCCGCTGGACGCCGGACCCGGCCGCAGGGGCGTGGGCGCGGCATGGCGACGGGGCCTTTGCGGGTTTCTCGCCCGTGCGGCCGCCAGGCTGACCCCGCGCCCGGAGCAGCCGGGTTGTAACAGGCGCATCCGGCCGGCGCGGGGCACCGGCTGCCCAGGGCTTCCGAGCAATTGCCCCCGGGGGCATTTCTCCAGGCAGTTCTCAGGGCTGCGGGTCTTTTGTCAGCGCCCCCCGCTCTGCCCGTGACGGGCGCGGGCAAGGGCCTGCCTGCTGCCGGAGACGGGGCCGGGGACCGGCCTCCACCTGCGCGGGGAGAGCTCGCGTCCCCTCAGGGGCTCTGCTGCCGGTCGGAAGCAGCAGCTTCCGCAGGAGGAAGCCGGGCCCCAGGGGAAGCTCCCCGCTGGTCACGACCATCATCCTTCGCCTTGCTCCCGGCGCCTGCCAGGCTCCCCGGCCCCAGGGCAAGCTGGGCTCCGCAGCGGGAGGGACCCGCCAAGGCACGGAGCGCAGCCCCCGGCCGGTTCACACTCCCTGCGGCCGCCCCATTGCCCTCCGCCCCGGGTCCCCGAGGGGAAGGCCGGGGCTGGAACTCCGGCTTTGTGCGAGTGGCAAGGTGCGGGGAAGCCTGCGGGAAATGGCGGCTGCTGGGAAGTGGGGGGGATTTTTTCGCCCTTTGCGCCTCGGAATGAGGAGGGGCCTCCCTGCTCCACTGCCCCAGGCGGGTGCAGGCAGGGGGGCGTCTCGCTGGGGCCTGCGAGCACGCACCGCACAAGCCCAGCCACAGGAGGGCCGGCCACGCAGCCCGCAGCCCGGGGCCCGCAGCAGAGGGACGCGAGGAGACAGTCACCTGCTCGGCCGGGCTGTTGGGAACAGGACTCAGGCCGGCACCCTGACATCCGCCCGAGCCCCGGTCTGGGGCTGACCCGGGCCCCTGGCAGTTAGCTAGGGAACACAGTCTCTCTCTCCCTCGGAGGCTGCCTCCTGCCCCGGGCGGAGCTGAGCTCTCTGTGCCTTAGAGCAGCCAGCCCAGAACAAAACCCCGGCGTGCCCCTTCCCTGGCGGCTGCCCCCGGAGCTGGGTATCTCCCCTCTTCTTCAACGACCGACAGCACCTCAGGGAGAGGCAGCGGGGGGGAGGTTGGTTCTGGTGGCCCTGGCTGGTCATTTGTGTGGCTCTCCGCTGGCCTCCCTCCAACGTGTGCCCCTCTTTCCCAAGGCGCAGCGCCCGCCATGGGACACGGGACTCCAGCTGAGCCTGCATCGGAGCCAGGCAGAGCGGGACAGTGACCTCCCGGTCCTTACATCCGACACTGCTGTGGTTCGCGTCGGAACACTGCTCCTCTTTGTCCCAGTGGCCTTAGGCTGCTGACACGTTCCCTCTGGGATCCACTCTAATCCCCGGATCCCTGTCTGCAGCCCTGCCGCCGACCCGGTTAGTCCGAGTTTGTCCTTGTGCCATTGATTTTTCCTTCCCATGCTCAGCACTTTGCACTTTCCTGTGCTGAATTTCATCTTGATTACTTCAGACCAGTTCTCCTACGTAGCAAGAGCCTTTTGAATTCTAACCCTGTCCTCCAAAGTGCTTGCAACCCCTCCCAGCTTGGTGTCAGCTGCAGATTTTATAAGCATATAGTGCACTCCATTATTCCAAATCGTTAATGCGAACGAGCCTGGACAGTGGCTTGTGGGACCCCAATAGAAACATCCCCCCAGTTTGACTGAACCACTGACCGTTACTCTTTGAGTACAGTCTTCCAACCAGTTTTGCACTCAATTTAT